ATCCAATGCTGGGTTCAACGGCACTCCCATTCATGTTGTAATCCGGCGCATACCCAAAGTGGTCCGTGTTCTTCAAAACAATTTTGCTTTGCCTTTGTGGCGCGCTTTCACGCCCATGCATACCCCATTTTAGCACGGGCCGCCTCTTCATTCTTGGAATGACTCTCTTCCTGCTGCAGCGGCGTTTCGGCTCGACATACTTTAGGTAGCGGCCAGTGGCAGGGGGAGGGGTGGGGGGGCGGTGAAGGGGCGCGGGCGATTGAGGGTCTTGCCGGCACCGCAGCCTCTTGCACTTACTGTAGCTTGGTTCAGTCGGCACGTCGTTGACAGATCGATAGACAGCAAGCAGAGCCTAGTTTCTGTCATCTCAGTTCCAAACCTGGCGCACCGATTGGTGGACGAACTCGCTGCAAGCCGGGTAAACCCCCGGGGGGGGGAGAAGGACCAGCTAAGCACAGCAAAGCCCCGGGCGCAGTCGCTCCCGCAGGCCTCATTGCGTCTGCCGCCCCTCACCCGTCCAGGCGGTCTCCCCAGCGACGCGCAACAGCCAAGGATCTTTCGATTGCAAATGCCTTGCTGACGCCAGAGGCCCTCCGTACCCGTTCAGCTTACCCTGCGGGCCTGGTGGCTCAGGTTGGCAGGCCACATCTTTTGCAGTCCGAAGCGCCAGGATGTTGGCCAGGCGGTCGACGCCCTCACGGCGGACCGGGACCCCGAGTCCCCGAGGATGCCCGTCAGGGGACAGCTGTCGGGAATGAGCCCTTGAGGCAGCCCCCGTCGGACATGATCTTGGAGCTCCAAGGTTCGTGGTGTATCCGGCTGCAACCGGGAGCGTCCTTGCACATTCAGTCGGAGACACTTGCACCTCCAGGTACGTCGCTGGCAGACAGGTGTTTAGCCCAGTCGGATACTCAGCAGCCCCATGAGGGGGGTCGGTCAACGGTGGCTGGCCCTCCGATGCTACTCCGGTGAGGGAGGGCTGCCTCTGTTTAGGGGCCCAAGTGCGGCTTGAAGCGCACCCACACCACCCTGGCCCGCGGCTGACATACGTCATCTGCCTATCCTTGATTCTGCTAATATGTCTTCTTATGTGTTGCAAGGTGGCCATCGGGGCTGCCCGGGCTGCCGGTGATCTACTCTGGGCCCACGCTTGATTGTTGCTGCCGGAGCCTACGTCTAGCACTGCACCAGCCTGTCCTCCGTTGCGCTTCTGTCCTCCGGCGAGGTGACGCACGCTGGGCGGCCGCTCGCTGAGCCGAGTACGGGAGGAGGAGGGGGGCCCACGCACATGTATGGAGCGCTCACCGCCCCCATGCTCGCTTAGCGGCTGACATACGTCATCTGCCTATTTGCATTTGCTGTTTGTCAGGCTATTTGCTGCGAGGTGGGGCGCCTGTGCACCCCCTCCCCAGTTAACCTGTGCAGCTGCTGCGATCACTCTGCCAGGCGATGCGTTGGCAGACCTTGAAGTACCTAGCTCCTTCTTTCTGTACTGGGAGTGGGGCAGTTGCTGCCATCTCTTCGCGGTTTGCCGTAGGCTTTGACGGTGCCCACCTTGGCGAGGTGCGCCGTTGTGTGGTCCGCCTCCTACGGTAGTGCTGTCAGGTGGTGGCCGCCGAGCCAGCTGCTGGTCGCTTGCCCCTTGGTGCCTCGCCTTGCTGTCGATGATTGGCCTTGCTAGTTGCTCTGCGTCCGTTTTGCCACTTGCATGGCGGCCCCCAGGCTAGGATTCCAGAGGGTAGCTTGTGACATACGTCGCTCGCAATTCTTCGCTCCATGGCGGCACCTCCAGCGTCATCGGCTGGGCGCACAGGAAGGCAGGCCCTCGCTATCAATCTTGCGGAGCTCCCTTCTGAGCCGGAGTCAGAAGGAGAGCCGACGGCTTATCCTGGTGCGGGCCCCTGGTGGCCGGCACACGGCCCCCCGGCGCCGGTGCCAGTCAATGAGCCGCCCGGGGAGCGCATCCATAGGGAGGCCACTGACATGTACCACCGTATGGTCAGTCGCGGATACCCTTGCGAGACGCGGCATTTTCATGAACCTAGCTGTCACCTGTGTCGAACCTGATGCAATTGCCCAGGGGTCCATGGCCATCTATGTCCGCCCACTTGCACCGTGGCAAGGCGAGCACCCCTGGACGGTCTACGTGAGTCAGGACTTAGCAGACGACGGCTCGGCGGCCGAGGAGGATGCCGGGCCCGCTCAGCCCGCTATTCCCGCACCCAAGCCGAAGACCAGACAGAAAAGGTCGCGACCGGCCTAATGCGGCTGGCCCAGGTCACGAAGGCCACCTTTATAGCGCCGCTGGTCTTTTCTTCTGCGATGGCGGTGCGACGCCCGGGTGGCTCGCTCTCCTCGCGTGCCAGTGCTCATTTTGATGCACCGATCGCCTGCGCGATACAAACAAGTGACCACCTTCGGTAGGAGCGGCGGATCTATGGTGACTTTTGCCTGCTCCTGCATGCTTAGGCCATCGCCTGTGCTTCGAATAGTGGGGCTGTTGCCTCAGAGAAAGGCCCTGGCATGCTTTTGCAGTCGTTGTTGTCCAGTGTGTCTGCCGCCTGCAGCCCCGTGCCTCGAACCGAGCCTGCATGGCTTAGGGGGCGGCGACATACGTCGCCAGCCAGGTGAAATGGCCCGCACCAATGGGCCCGCGAGCGGCGGCTTCGGGGAGCGGGACACCAGTCCGACTGCTTGCGAGAGCCGCTTGCCCCGGGGCGCAGTCGAAAAGCACATCAGGACCGTATCCCGTATGTGTGCTGTACTCCTGGGTGTCATCGCTCCTTTCACAAGGGCCGACACCGGCACTGCTGCTCCTTATGCAGTATAGGGGCCAACACAGGATAGGTGCGAGAGGCACTACGCGCGGCTGATGCGACGGACTCGATTGGCTTTGTCTACATGCTGCTTCCCGAGCTGCCCAAGAGTCGCTGGCTTCGGGCACACTCGATGCTGTGCTCTCTGCGGAAGCACGAATTGGGAGGTGCATACTCCATAGTGCGAGCAGCGCCAGCACCGCCTGGCCGGTCCGCACGCAAACAGCCCAACGCCCTTGCCCGGCGAAGAGGTGCGGAACCGCTCCTTGCATGGTGCAGGGCCAGGGCCCTGCGGTGGTTCGGGAGCCGCCCTATGTAGCCCACGAGGCCTGGATCACGAGCATGTATGTAGCCGAGGCTGTCACACCGGCTCCGGTGTGCCATGTGCGCCTTGGATGGGACACCTCACCAACGGCTTCTTTGAGAGAGGCGGGTGGAGCTGCTGACCTCGCCCGTGGACCGTCGATGCAAACCTTCTACCGGGCGGGGCCCGCTTCGGCCCGGCGCGGCAAGCCACGGCCTACGTCAGTTCGATTGACCTTGAGGTCATGGATTGAGGCCCCGGAGCCTCGGCCCCGCCGGCACAGAAACAAATGCGGCGCGTGGCTCGCACGCTGTGTACACTAGTCTCCTCGCTGTGCACCTTCGGAGACATACGTCGATGTCCATTTTGTGACCCCTGGTCGTCCCTCCCCTGCTTGGCCCCATGGCGAGTGCGTGGAATGAGATGCGTGCCAACGTCAATATCCCAGGCTATGACATGTTCCAGATTACCTCATCTAATGACATCGACCCGCTCTTTGTCACTTTCGCGCTGACCCTGGCATCCCAGCGGGGTGCGAACTGCGTGGTCTTCGAGGGACGCATTCGACGGGCATGGGTGAAATTTCTTCCAGATGATCCCAGGCATGCGGACGCCGTATCCCGCACGAGACAGGACGAAGCCATGCGGCATGGCTACCAAGCCTTCATCCGCGAGGGCGCCGAGTGACTGACGGCAGGCCATCGGCCTAATCGGGGTTTTTGGAGGCCGTCAGTGCGAGCGCTGATAGTCCCTTAATATCTTGAGCGTGAATTTTCTTGAAAAATCGGGCCTGGATTTTTAAAGAAAATGGCTGCCAAAAGTTTTCTGTAGTGTGAGCGCCAAGTGTTGCTATATTGCATCCTCTTGTCACCCGCGCTCGTCATCTCAAGGTATCTCAAAGCCGGTTTTGCACAAACGTCAGTGACACTATGCTGGACTTCACTGAACAAGCCACAAGTCTTGCACATGTAAGGTTGCAGAAATTTTTCTTTCCCCGGGTCGTCCCATGGACTTCGGCGACGCCCTCGCCGCCGGTTCTTCAGGCCGTTCCGAAGACAGCTCTACCAGCACCCGCGAGCTCCATAGCCAGCACATTTACGAACTCCAATTGGAGGTCAACGCCCTCCGTGCTGAAATCCAAACTCTCAGGTCCGCATTGCAAGCTCTGGAAGAGTCCCTTGCTCGTGCCTGGGTGAACCAGACCGGCCACCACCAACGTCTCTCGTGGCTCGAAGGGATCATTCAGAGCTTGCGGGCTGCCTGTCGCGTATTTCTTGAGCCTGGCGTGCAGCCTGCCTCACCTTAGGCCATGAATACCTTTAGTGCCAGCATCTTGCAGCAACTTGCTGGTGTCACCCGCGAGCACCTCGACGGTGCCTTGCCTCCGGCGCAGGCCACTGTTGGGCCCCCTGAGCTTCCGTTTGCACCTGTGCCCGATCTTGGGGATGCCTTTCCTGCAAATCCATCTCCTGCATCTGCTTCTGCGGATAACTGGGGGTTTGTAGGATTTACTGGTGACTTCGAAGGGTTTACCGATGACCTCGCAGCGCCTGTCTCTGAAGTCGAAGTCCAGCAGCAAACTCACGAGTTTCCACCTTCCCCTCCCGTAGGGTTTAACCCCAATCACTTCGAGGCCCATTTAGCATCCCTCTGCGAGCCAGATGAGCAAGCCCCTTCCCTCTCCCTTTTAGGGTCGGGAGATGAAAACACTGCTTGGTAAGAAGATGTTAGGGCCATGAGTGAGTCACATTTTTCATTGGTGCCAAGCGCCAGCAAAAGAGACTTTGGAGAAGAGGTCCGTCCTGGTAGGATTGCTCGTGCTGTGGGCGATGAGCGCTCACGTACTGCCGTGGCATCTCCTGCCCTGCCTTGGGAGAGAGGAGTCTTCAGAGCCATCTTTGGGGATGAGGGCTTGACTAATCCCTTTGATAACCTTGTGCTTAAGATGCCTGGCCCATTAGTCCCAGCACATGTGCCGCCGGCTGAGCCAAAGATCCCTGAGCCTCCCATACCTTCAGCTGACATCGCGAGCAGGGCATTCAAATCCTTCAAGGATGTACATCCGAGCGACGAGCGTGATATGGTCATGGACCGAGCGGTGTGCAAACTGCAGCACATCATTTGCCGCACCGATGTTGACCGTTTGTCACCTGAACTTGCACAAGCAGCCTCTTCCAAAGATGCAACAGACGAAGTGTTTGGCATTGTGTCTGCTTGTGTAGGTCTTCGTAGTCCTCACACGGTTGTGAAGCGCGCCAACGCGATCCTTGCATACTTGAGATGGTGTGACAAGGAAGGTTACGAGAAGCCATTTTGTGAGGATTCTGTGTGGAGCTTCATTTCCTACTTAAAGAAAGAGAAGGCAGCTCCGTGCAGCCTCCCTCATTTCAGCTTTGCGCTTTGCGAACTTCGTTTTAGGGCTGAGTGTGTCCGAGGTTCTTGCGAGCCGTAGGATTCTGGGCCTCAGTGCCCAGCTGGGTGTCAAAAAGAAAGCGACCAACCGAGCCCGGCCTCTCAAAGTGTCAGAGGTTCGCTTCATGCATGGCGTGCTAGAGGACGAGAGTGCACCAATCTGGGACCGAGCCATCTGTGCCTACCTTCTTCTTGCACTCTACGCAAGAGCCAGACACAGTGATCTGGTTCTTGTAGAAGAAGTGATAGCAGACTTTGATCGCCAGTGCAGCGGATACCTAGAGATCCGCCTCAGATTCCATAAGACGGCACAAACCATTGCAAAGAAAAATGATTTGTTGCCGGTTATAGTTTCAAGCAAGGGCATCGTGAAAGGCGACTGGCTGGGGTTGGCTACTGATGTATTTGAGCGTGTGGGCCTCACCTTGGATGGGACTGTCGGTGCGGGCCTCTTCAGTAGGCCATTTAGGCCCGGTGATACTGCCCCAGGTCGACGAAGCCTAAGGTCGTCGGAGTGCACAACCATGTTGAAAATGGTCCTTGAGCGGGCCGGGTCAGATGTGTCAATGGTCACCTCTCACTCGTTGAAGAGAACCCTGCTTGATTGGGGCTCCAAGTTTTGTCTTGATGACGGGATTTTGGCTTTGCTTGGGCGTCACAGTAAGTGTGTCAAAGGAAGCGTGCCCGTCTATGCTAAGGAGGAAGCCTTGAAAGCTGTTAGGGCTCTTGAGCCTATGTGCCAAGCAGTGGCCGCGGGATCGTTCCACCCAGATGCTGCCCGAGCCTTGTACTTTACGGATCCCCCAGCGCCAACTGTGGTGCCACAAGCGCCCGAGTTCAGGGCGGCTGTCAAGGCGAAGGTTGAAATCATCAATGACTCAGCGTCCGAGCGGGCTGAGTCCGAGGGGCAGCACTCTTCAAGTGGCAGCGAAAGCAGCGATTCCGAGTCACAAGACGACTCCGACTCGTCGTCCGAGTCAATTGCGCCGATCAAAGCGCCCCGCCTGGAAATCGAGCAGTGGGATGCCGCTGACTGTGCGGCCAATTCCAGGACCAGGACCCTTCACCTCTTGAAATTTGTGTCTGGAGGTGGAAATCTAATCGCCGCGTGCGGAAGGACCTCAGAGGTCATGGTTCAAGCGGCGCAAGCACATATGAGTTTCCGGAGGTGCCGCGCTTGTGTGCGGATTGGGAAGCGCTGAAGGCTAGATGCCGACTTTCCGCCTTTTTGGCGAAGGGCGAAGTGCCAGGACCTAGAAGGTCTTTGATTGCGATTCGAGTACAGTTAAAGAGTGATCGTCTGCAGTGGGACATGTTGTTGCCATGGACAGTGAAGCGCGGCAGTGTTCTGAATTAGACTCTGCTTGACTTGCATTTTTGTGAATGCAGTGCGAACATTTGAGTTCTGCAGTATTGGCCGAGGATAAAACCTGTTTTGATCATGTCATGAAGTTCATGTTGTGTTCTTCTCGCTTTATCTTAGATCGAATGATGCTCTAATTGCTTTCAGCTGCTGTTCAGGTACCTCGAAGTTTTGACGTGCACAGTGGACTGTCCGAAGCTCCTTTTGCTCGCCATGTCCTCGTTATAATCGATAGCGGTGCACACTTTAAAAGGCGTGCGGATGAGGTCGGCCTCAGCAGTGCCGGGTGGACGATCCTTCAGGCCCTTGGCATTACCTCTGTAGGTAAGGCGGCGTACACCATCACGTCGCCAGGTGAGCCAGTCACAGAACCCATATTCCGAGATTGGGTTGCCGACAATGCTGCAGGTATGACTCTGGGTGATCAATCATGCTTGAAAAGGCTCGTGTTCGAGTCCCAGACTCTGGTCGTTGCTGAGTTGCGCGACCAAGTATCCGGGTCCCAATCATCTGCCCCTCGTCGTGTTCCCGAGGCTGAGCGCGACCGAAGACTGAATGATCTTAGGGCGGCCCTCCCAGGCATCACGCTGGAGGGCGTGAACATGCCAAGCAATGCCCTGTTGGATTCGTGTTGTCAGCAAGAGCGAGACAACTTGCTTAAGTACATCCCGCCTGAGAAGGCCACGAGCCGCACCCATGAACTCACGAATCCAAGACCGACCCATCAGGCGCTGCAGGTCGAAGCATCCAAAATAGTTCTCAAGAGTGACGCTGATGCCGTTGAGTATCAACCGGTCAATGCGCTCCAGACCATGGAGGCCCTTCGGCGACGAGGTTTGGCCATGGTGTTTGCACAGATGATTTCATATGATGCCTACGATCGGTATGTGAATCGTCTCTTTAACCACCTGTCCCGTGACCCGCCGCCAGGGCTCAATCGCGTGAATGTGACACAATTGGTTAACGCTGACAAGCAGGTGTTTGCACTGCTGGCCGAATGGGGTGTCAAACCAAGGAGGGATATACCGCAGCCGAGTATCCCCTTGACCGAGAGATGCACCGCGCTTTGGAATCCTACGAGGTATCCATTGCCCTTATGCACCAGACTCCCCAAGGGAAGTTCCCGTTCAAGATTAACCGCAAGCGTCATCCCTCTCGGCCTTCAACCCCCGATCCTCCTACGAAGCTCCCTAAAGGCAAAGGCCGAGGCAAAGGTGCCAAAGGTGGTCCTGCGATGCCCAAGGAGCTTGTTGACCTGAAGGCCAATGCCACCACGCCTGAGGGTAAGAGCATCTGTTACGCGTTCAACTTGAAGGAGTGCAAGCGCACCGACTGCCCTCATCAGCATGTTTGTGCCAGGTGTTTCCAGCCACACTCGATCCGCAAGTGTGCTGCCGCCGGCGCTTGAGCGCCTTCGATCCCCTCTGAAGCAGTTTTGCACCGTGATTCACTCTTGTCTGAGCCTGCCGCGTCTCTTGTCGCAACTGGAGACCTGGCTGATGCATGCAATCCCATATCCCCTCCTTGTGAACAGCACGCCCAAACCTTGCTTTCCCGCGGTGCCTTGTGTGCTGCGGATGTGTTGGGCTTGGTCTCTTTTCTGCAACCCGAATCACCTCGCTTCCCTGGTGAGTTTAGTTGGGCCACTGGAGCCTATGTGCATGGCGGCATAGTCGGCCTCCGCCACAACCTCAATCATTTTCCACTTTCGTCTAAAGTCTTGGCGAGCTTTGTTTCGAATACATTCCCACAATTGGAGTTTACCTCCATCGTGGTTTTAGTTAACACCCTCACCCCTGCGCACCAAGATCTCAACAACCATTTGGGTTTCCCCAATGCTTTGATTCCGCTTAGTAAGTTTGAGGCCGGTGGCCTTTGGATCGAGGGAGCTGGTGAAGAGGTTTGTCCTGACCCCGGGCATCCCGATGCCAAGGGACATGTTCTGCAACTGCATGAGCCGATCCAGTTCGATGCGCACCGGCTGCATGCGACCTGCCCGTGGACAGGAAATCGCACTGTGCTAGCAGCTTTCGTAATCAATGATTTCCACAAGTTGGATGCTCAGCACCGCCAGCTTCTTCAGCACACTGCCTTTCGCTTGCCAAGCCTGTCTACTGGCGAGCTCCTGCCTTTGCGCCCAAGCATCGCTTCACGGTTCCCTTTGTCGGGGCCCAAGGTGTTGATCACGTGGTCGTGGATCATGCTGCCTGTCCTGTGCTGTTGGCCGATCTGACTACGCAAGAGGGCCAGCGTTTGACCATGATGTGGCTTTCCAGCCCTCATGTTGTCGGTGTCTTCATCGCTCCACCGTGTCGCACCAGCTCTCGCGCCCGGGAGATTGCACTCCCTGGGCCTTCTCCCGCCCCGCTGCGATCACTCACTTTTCCCGACGGGCTGCCCCATCTATCTGGTCTCAACCTGGTGCGCGTCAACCGGGCTAATCAGCTGTACCTTTACGACTACCATCTGTGCTGAGGCCCATCACCGCAACCTCATCATTGCCGTGGAAAATCCGCGGAGCAGTCTCTACTGGTCCACCAGCTTCTGGGCTGCTGCGGCCTCCTTTTGTCCTATGCATACTGATTTTCAACACTGTGCCTTTGGCGGTCGCCGGCCCAAGTGGACTCGCCTTTGCCACAACCACCAAGCCTTCCATGCTTTGCATCGCGTCTGTCCGGGCGGTGCCTGTGCTGCCCAACATTTGCCGTGGGGTCGTTCTGAAGACGGCTCCTTTGCCACCGCCGGTGAAAGCGCTTACCCGCCGCAGCTAGCCACCGCCATCGCTCAGTGCTTTGCTCGAGCAGTTACTTTTCTGCCTGAGGCCGAGCCCTCCCTTGCAGCCATGAGGGCCACTTCCGGCCTTCAGCCCAAAGCTTCGGCGGTGCCGCCCCTTGTCCCCGAGCACAAAGCTGTGCTTGTGATGACCGGCCCAAGTGATGCCACTTCCTTGCCGACCCTTCGCGCCCGACTGCCCGAGCCGTGGTCTGACTCGCGCTTCGCGCCTGCTGGACCCGTGCCAGCCCACAGTCAATTACTCCGAGCGGATAAGAAGGGAAGTGATCGACTTGAGTTGGCCTGGGGCATATCTTGGTCTCCAGAAGAGTTCATACATAAAGCGGTTCAAGCGGGACATCCCAAAAAGTTTGACTCGCTACTGCCTTCCGCACTGAGCCACAGCATAGACGTAAATGCAAAAACAACGCCGGCCGATAGAGCCGGCCTCAGAGCCGAATGGTTTGCAAAGTGGACCAAACGTGCGGCTGAACTTTCGGGGGACGAAAAGAAGCTCAAGAGCTCTCTCCCCGAGTACGCCAGGAAGATCGTCCTACCAAAAAGGATTTTATTGTGGCGTGAGATTCTAGAGGATCTCAAATATCCTGACATTGGAGTGCTGGACGAAATGCTTGAAGGAGTGCACTTGACAGGTCAGACCCCTTGCACAGGGGTCTTTCCTGGGGCCTTTAAGCCAGCAAAAAGGACTTCGGAACAGCTGCGCTCCAAAGCTAGTGAGTCCCGCCAGAAGATCATCGATGCGATCAAATCGCAGGGTCACCTGGATGAAGCGCTAGAGCAAAAGGTCGACGAAGAAGTGGAACTCGGCTGGCTGTCCGAGCCGATAGACCCGGCCGATTTGCCGGAAGACGCCACAATCAGCAGGAGGTTTGCGATCGAGCAGTCAGGTAAGATTCGCTTGATAGACGACCTGAGTGATAGTGGTGTTAATGGGTCTGTCCAAACCACCGAGAGCCCCAAACCTCAATCCCTTGATGTGGTGGCCGCCATGGCCTTGGCCTGTCTTAGACAGCTGCCTGGGACTCCCATGCTAGGGAAGACGTTCGACTTAAAGAGCTGTTTATTATTTTGCCTCCTAGGAAACCCCATGCATTTTATCATGATTTGCTTTATCGTATTTCATGCACTCATGTGTTTCACATCGTGATTGCGCTATACTCCGCAGGCGTCTTTGAGGATTCAAAACATTTTCATGGTAGCGGAGCTTGGGAAAGCCCAAGCTTCGAGACACGTCTCGGGGCTCTCTTGCACATTGCGTTGCGAAGTGCGTTCGGGGAGCTCAGGCTTCGGAAAGTTTGTCCTGGACCTTTGGGGATTTCTGTTTCCGTTAGGATCTAGGTAGGATCGCAATCCCGGCGCAGACCGGACGAGCCATTGCGTGCTCAGACAGAGCAAGGCCACGGCGTCTCTTGCTGCAGTGGAGGAAGTGAAAGAGAGATTGCACAGCCTTTACGTTGAGCAGCTTTGTGAAAGGCCCCGTCCCGAGGGCAGATCCGGTTCTTCTTGGGGTAAGATCTTATCGACTTATAGAGTTGCTTTTGAGCGGAGACTTGAAGAGCTGCATACAGTTGAGTGCGTTTGGAAGTTTGCGACCAAGTGTTTGAAGAAACAACATTTGAGAGAAGTTTTTGAGGCATTCGCACCTGAAGACGTTGCTGAGAATTGCATTTCGGAGGAGTTGCAACAAGCTTCGTTACATCCTGTGGAGGAAGGCCCTAACTTCGAGCGTGATCTTCTTGCGAGCAGTGCTGATTTGCAGGAGCTTTTGAGAGCTAGTGCTGATTGTGAGCTGCCAAGTTCTTCAGCTGAGCCGAAGCGTGCATTCAAGCGTCGATTGCAGCAGCAGGACTCTGTGATTGAGTTGGATTAATTTCCTTGAATTTCTTGATCAGACAGAGAAGAGATGGATCAACAAGGTCAGAATGTGCATGAGGGGCCGCAGTTGCCCCAGCAGCCGTCAGGCAGCGCAAGTGTTGAGCCGCCAGTGGCTCAGAACCCGTTCTCGCCAGTTGGGCAAGGACAGCAAGCACCACAGCAGTTTGTGCAAATTGACATGACACAGATGCAGTTGCTTATGGCACAGATGGTTGAGACGGCGCAAGCAGCGTCGCAGGCTGCTCAGGCAGCCGTTGCAAGGCCTTCGAGCAATTTGACTTCGGGATTTTCTGATGCGAATAGGATTCTTAATCGCCCTTCGGAATTTGGGTCTGGGGTTCACGACAGCGACCTTGCAAATTGGTCTGAATGGAGCCACTCATTCAGAACGTGGCTGGTTTTCGCTGAAAGCCAGTTCGAACAGGACCTTAAGCTTGTGGAGGACAACTTGCAGGGCCCTGTTGATCTGACTGGGGCTTCGCCTGATCGCATTGCAAGGTCTCAGAGGCTTTACGCGATCCTTGCAAGCCTTCTGCGTTCGAAGCCAAAAGCGATCTTGCGTCAGGTCGTCAACAGAAACGGCCTAGAAGTCTGGCGCATTCTCACCAACACTTACGCGCCCAAATCAAAATTCCGTGGACTTGCACTTTTGAATGCACTTATGACCCTTCCGAGCTTCGGGAAAGATCGAAGCTTGCGAGAACACATCCAAGGACTTGAGAGAATCGCTGAAGAATATCAAAGGGTCACTGGACATTATCCTGGAGAAGAGGTTATGCTAGGCACACTAGTTCGGTCCCTTCCCTCTGCGATAAAACAACACGTTCAACTTCAGATGACAGACTCCAGTAGTTACCAAAGCATCAGGGACTACGTTCTGGGGTATGAAGTTACGACAACGTCTTGGACTCCAGCCAAAATGCACCAAGCTCTTGGTGTAGTGCCTTTACCCAGTGCTGTCGAGCAAGGCCCAGTCCCGATGGAGGTCGATGCACTTCAAAGAAAGGGGCCAAAAGGCAAAGGCAAGAAGGGCAAAGAGCAGAAAGGCAAAGGTGGACAGCAACCGCAGTATCCGTATGGTGGCAAGGGCAAGGCCAAAGAAGGCAAGCAAAAGGGCAAGAAGGGCAAGGAGCACAAAGGCAAAGGTGGACAGCAGCCGCAGAATCCTGGTGCCAAGGGCTCTAGGGCAAATGTAGTGTGCCACAATTGCCAGCGCAAGGGTCATTATGCTAGTGAGTGCTGGCGTCCACGTGTGCAGCAAGTCCAGGCACAGGGTTCGGACACCGCGTCCACTGTTGCGCCTAGCACTGTTGGTCCTTCAGCATCGCAAGTCGCTGGCAGCGCTGCTACCACCACGAAGCGCCACCACGAAGCGCGTTGCTAGAGTTGAGATAGACATGACTTCCAGTGCGTTTCAGGACGATGCAGAGATCAGCGGTCACTTGTGTGTTTTGACAAAGGTGTGTCCTGAGGACCCAGGTGCAGCTACTGCCCAGCCGAGTTTTGCTTCACTGTGCAAGTCTTTGGCGTCTGCATGCGTTGACCCTGTGAAGCCACATGTTCTTGTGCCAGTGCCTGAGGCTGAAGTGTTTGACGTGTCATATTCGGACAGCGACTGTGTCTGGACAATGCCAGATGAGATGCATGGAGCCAGATGTGTTGGTTGGTTGAGCAGTGCACGGGATTCTGAGTATGCGAAGTGCAAGGCGCCAGCCCGCAACCGTGCAAGGTCAGGTAGGCGATCACGACCGCCACTGCAGTGCGAGCCAATGTTGCATGCATGCGAAGCCGCTGCCGAGCACCTTGTGACCCCACCTGTGCATCCCCTTCAGAACCTCAGTGTGTGTGCAGTGTCGTGGGCAGACATGAGCAACGAGATTGAGGTTGTGGTCGACTCTGGGTCAGATGCCTCATGCTTGCCGCTGTCCTGGGCACACGTCGGAAGGGCTGATGGAGCGAGCCTTGATAGTTTCAGGGATGCCCAGGGTCGCATGATCAGGGGTTCGCAAATGCGTACGGCAGTGCTTCAGATTGATGGTGTTCAATTCAAGGAGCGATGGCTGTTGAGCAGTGTGACACAGCCGCTTTTCAGTGTCGGCAAGTTGCTCAGGCGGGGATGGGACATCATCCACAGTGACGGTGTTCCTTACTTGACAAATCCTGGGGGCACAGTGCGCGTGCCTATGCACTACCGGCACAATTCCTTGCATGCGCGAGGCTCCATCATGAGCGTGGTAGTGTGTGCCAACGACTGTTTGAACGATGACAGAGAGGACGATGCGGCCCGATACCACGAGCCCCAGGAAGCCGAGCTTGATGATGAGCAGGTGCGCGGCAACGACCAGCAGGTCGAGGTGCCCCGGAGTGCTGAATCAGACAGCCCTGTTGCAGCTGCGGTGCGTGCGCTTAAGCTTGGCAGTGCATGGCTGAACCTGGGTAGCCAATACACCGAGATGCAGCCTGGAATCTTTGCTAGGCAAGATCAGTCGGATCGGTTTCTTGATGTGTCAGTGCCGTTGAGCCACCATGGAGTGGGCTTCCGCACGACCCTTCAGTATGATGGTG